GAGTAGATTTTAGAAAATCCCTTTAAACTGTTGCTTGTCTAAAAGGTTATAAAGATCCAGCTGTTGGGTACAGGTTGAAGCATGGCCAGTTTCACATGAACCACAGACAGTCAGTTTTGAACCAACCAACAAGTAGAAAAAACAAAATGATCTTTTTATGTTTACTTAGCCACCTGTGCTGTTATATTTTCTGGAGTTTGCAAAGAGCTCAGTTACCAGGCCTTTTTTTCTCTCTTCATTCACTGATCGTCTCGCCTCTGTCCCTCGCTTCTCTTCTGCTCTATCAGTGAACATATTCCCTGGTTTCTTTTGTCCCATGCTCACACACCTGGAACATACAAGGTTTTACACAGACAGCATTGATTCCACTTACATAGTTTTATATTTTAATGACTGGTGCTGTTTTAAAGTGTCTTCATTTTGACTGTACTGTATTAAATTGTATTAAATGCCTCAACACCACTGAAAACGAGAGTTCTCTCTATTTGGGTTCTCTGAGTAATAAATAATAAATGACAAAGAGAAAAAAACACAAATAGACATCTTTGCATTTCTGAGTAGCCCTGTCTCTGTGCCCCAGGTCCACAACAAATCTCCAATCTAAATAAGTACCATATTTTCTAATCATGATAGGCTGAGCTTCCGTAATACTATAATTATATACTCTACTATTTTCTAAATTGTCTATTCAGTTCATTCTAATTTGGTCTGAGTACTTGCTTAAATTATTATAATTCATCTTGCCCATCAGGCTCCTAAATTATGATGCTCCTGTGACCCCTTGATGAGAGCGCCATTTTGTTCAAATTCTCCCCTTTCTTTCTCTTTTTCTGAAACAGAAGAATACTTTCAACAGGGTTTGAGAAATGAGCCAAAACCTTGAAAGTGAAGACCTGAATGCCTGAACAGAGAGCACGCCAGGAAGAAAGGAGCATTTACTGTACGGCTTCATGCAAAGTGTTTACGGTAATGTGGGGAATCTGTGGAGCTGCAGTAAACCTCTGATGCATTTAGCAAGAAGAGCAACATGAATGATGCAAAGGAACCGGCAGGCTGGAAGAAAACTCTCTCACTTTAGCTCATTTTAGAGTATCATTTCCCATCCAGATGAGTTGGCGTTTGGATGTTTGCATAGATAAGGGGGTTAAGCAAAAAGCAGGTCAATGTTCTGCCAAAAGAAAACAACAAAACAATAAGGCTTGTGATCTGGTTCATCCCCCTCCTCGTAATATTTCTATTTGTCTGCTTGCATTGTTTCATCAGGACTACCTGCTCCAGGCCTTCCAGTGTCCCACATTCACCATGAGGTTACGGTATTAGTTCTGATGGTGGATTCAGGCCGCGGTGATGCTATGAAGCGAGGTCCTCTCACGCCTGTCTGCGTTTTGATGTGTCTGTCCATCATGCTGACAAGGTCTCCGTTTTTGTGAACATGCACGTTTCCTCCGACTGTAACCCTCTTCTAATGAAAAACAGTTCCGTCCCATCACCTAAAATATTCTCCTCCCGCCGCTTCCTCACACTCCACGAACTTTCCTGTCTCATCCTTACTTTCATCTATTTTTGTTCCCTCTCCCTCTTGCTTCTTTCTGCCTCAGTTCCCTGTCCACGTGGCCAAGTCTCATGCAACTTTTACTCCCTCATCCAGCCATCCACTTCCTCCACCGCCTTTTCCCTCCTTCTCCTCGGTTCCTTCTTTGGCTCTCGTCTCCTCTCCGTCCCGCTTCGCTTGTCGTGCTGGACCATGGCGCCCTCTCATCCTCCCGCTGACTTCATCCCAGGGCGATGTTTGTTAACAGAGAAAGAGGAGAACACCTACACTCTGTGCTCTGCTTGAGAACAATGAATGACTCAGGAAATCCCGTACAGAGTGGGTTATTTCAGAAAGTCAAAGCAAAGCAGGTGGTGAAAAAAATGGCGCAGTTTGAAGAACAGCCCTACCCTCCGACTGTAGCCTCTACAAATTGTTCATGTCAAAACGTTTCGCATTTTGTCACAAGCTTAAATATTTTTATTTGGATTTTATGACAGGCGAACACTGTAAAGCATAAAGAAGTCCACACAAGTAGAAGGTCGACTCAATATCTAACCCTGACCCTAACCTCTATCCATCATCAACCCCACAGCATGATACTGCCACCACCATGTTTCATCACAAGGATAGTGTTTTCAGTGAGATGTGCAATTTGCGGTGTACAGCTTTTTGTTTGGACTGGATTCTCTAGGAGAATCGCAGCAAAGGACACTGACTATAAGTGCAAACCACACTTACAAGATTTCATTAGTCAAAAATGTCTTCCTTCACCACAGTTATACTTTGTGAAATATATTTGATTGTAGAGCCTCTCTGCAATTTGAATGTGTGCTACTTTACAATAGCGTAGGACAATTTTAATGCAATATTTGGCAGTATATCATGTTTAACTAAGATGCATGCATAACTAAGATGCATGCATAAATGTATGGATTGACTTCGCTGCCTTTAATCCACATACTTAATGAATAATTTTAATGGCCACAATCAGGGGCGAAGACATTGTGATAAAGGAAAAAGGAAGAAAAGTGTCAGAATAAAATGAGTTGATCGTAATTGCGATACTCAAAAATGGTTTCACAAATACATGTTTGTTTTTATGTCGGCAGCTTTAAATCCCAGAACAGCACATAAATGTTTGTCGTGCGGATGTGACAAAATGTGTGTACACTTTTTCAAGGCTTTTCTAATTCAGAAAGATGAACAAATTGCTTTTTAATTGCCCATATGTCTCTCTTCTCTTCAAAGGAACGAGCCAGATTTGCCGCTAATTAAGATATTAGCTGATCCACAGTCTTTGTTTCCAAGTAAAACTGGCTCAAAACCATGCATGTAATATCTCTTTCTCCTCTTTTTTGCTGCCCACTGGCGCTGTATTATTCATAACCCAGAGGCTGTCAGGACCCGAGCAGTAAGCTGTATTTACGCATGACACATGTGTACTTGAAGTGTGGTGGCATTGTGACTCAACTTCCTTGGGGGGCCGTGAACAAGTCTGCCTCTAATCTCGGGCTCTGGACAGAAGTTTGCAGGAAGCCGCTGAAAGGGATTTAAACATTTACAGGAACTGGGTTTAGGAAGGAGGAGTTTGCCTTTTTTTCTTCTTCTTCTTTTTCCACCACATTTTGTATGGCGGATTTTTCAATTTATTGCGAATTTACTCACCAGTTGTCATCAACCTGTCAATTATGTCAATAAAATTTGTATACATTGATTTGTTTTGCTAAACATAGGACAGGAAACAGGATTAATAGAAATAGTGTAATATGTTTCTATTAGCTTGCTCATTAGGTCAAAAATTTTGAAAAAATATTACATTTTAAAATTATGGACACTAAATTTTGTGTGAGCTAAAAGTATGTTCCAAAATAATGTAAGTACTTTAAATTATGAAACTGCACACTTCTAGAATATTTATTTTTTAAAATCCCTGATTTATTTTGTATCAGTGCAGAATTTCCACCTTTATTAAATTGCAGAAATTCTGCTATAGCTTAGCTTTTGATGTGTTACCGCAAGACCTCAGGCACACCTCAGAAATTTAGAATATTAGTTAAGTAATATTAAAAGCTAAATTTATATATCTTATTGCACTCAGAGCAGAATATCATATATTTCTATCTGATTTTACATAAATGGCTGAAGGGTAACAGAAATCCACATTTCAGTTCTTTGGGAAAGTAGAAGATTAATAGAAAGGGATTTTTTAAAACAAAAATGATATGTTGCAAGCTATGTAATCTTCAATAAGACTGCTGACTTGACAGTTGTGCAGCAGACACTCATTGACACCCTCCGTAAGAAGGACAAACCACAAAAGTCATTGCAAAAGGAGCTGGTTGCTCAAAAAGTGTTGTATCCAAGGCTTTTAGTTTAACTCTTAGTGGAAGGAAAACATGTGGTGGAAAAGAAAATGGACAAGCAAAACCCTCAGAAAAAGAGTGGACCAATATAGATTCAAGGGTCTGGACTGATTCACAATTTGTGAATTGCACTCATATTCAGAGTTTAATGATCCACCTGAAATTAGCGTGAAGTAAACTGAAACAATTTGATTCCTTTTATTAATTCACTCCTGAATCAGAGACATTGCCAAAAGCATCTTAACTGGGATAAAGATTTCAGTTCACTTATGAAACAGACTCCTTGTCTTGACAGGTCTAAAACCCAGATTCCTTGAGGAGCCATTTCAGCTACCTGTCCTGGTCCACTCACTTTTTTTTCCCTCACAAATCTTAAATGAACGCAGTTATCTGTCAGGAAATGTTAAACCGGGAAACAGTACTTCAAGCAATGTGGGCTGGTGAGACATTTTGATGAAAAATGAAATCAGCATCTTCACAAAGCCAGTCAGAAGAGGGAAGCATGCTCTAAATCTTTCTGGTCATCGGCTGCGCTGACTAATGCCCTACAGAGTATCTTTTGGAGTATTGCCAAGAAGCAGATGAGACACTAGAAACAATGCAAAGCAGATGAAGGCCCCTCCTTAACACCCCAGCAGAACCACAGGCTGATCATCCTCTTGCCATGATGCAAAAGGAACCCCAACCGAGTATCTAGTGCATTGCACAAGTACATACTTGTCAAGGGTACTATGCAATATAACATTTTTAAGTGAAACTGAATTTATCAGCTACATAGGAATAAATAAGTGATTTACACACATTCTGTAATGTTAATAATATGTGAGTTTCATTTTTTATTTTTAATGGATTACTGAAATAAATGCCCTGCGATGAGCTGAGTGTGCCCCGCCTCTCGCTGCTGGAGTTAGGCACCAGCCCCCTGCAGCCTTGCAAGGAGGTATGGACACCGGTTGGATGGATGGACTGAAATAAATTCACCTTTTTGACAGGATTCTAATTAATTATAATGCACTTGCATAGCCCCATCTGGCCACCTCTGACAGAGCCTTCTGGTCATCTCACATCACTTAAACAGAGTGGAGAATCAGATATTCACTCACGGTAAAAGATGTACTGTGTATAGTTGGACCAGACCCTGTCGTCCGCGTAATGACCCGTGGAGGACGCGGTCAGCGAGGTGTTGCAGGCCACAATGTGAAAGCCAGTCTCTGACAGCATGTCAAAAGCCCTCTCCAGGTGCTTGAACTTGAGGTAAAACCTGCAGGTGTATCGGTCCGGGGGTCTGTCCAGATCCCTGTTCTCACTCAGGGCGTCTCCAAACACCTCCTTGGCCAGTCCAATCCGGCTGCTGATGAAGATCCTGGGTAACTTTTTGGCCTTGGGGTCAGTGTGGTACTCTCTACCCCTGAAGGCGACAGTAATGTAACCATACCTCCTGTCCAGGGAGTAAGCCGGGTACAGCCTGTGGTCGCTGCTCTGCGACTCCTCATCCCAGTCACTGTCATCCTGGAACAGCTTCGGCTCCTCACCTGACAGAAGTTTGGTCAGTTCTGGCAGATGGAAGTACTCGGCCTCTCTCTTCAGCCTCCCCCTCTCTGGAAAGTGGTCAGGGAGGACAACCTGCTTGTCTCTGAGGTAATCCAACACATACCGGAACAAAAATCCATCTCTGTCAATGAAATACCGCCCTCTGAAATCCCGTGACAAGTCATTTGAAGACCCCTTCTTGTTAGAAAACAGCTTCCCAAGTAAGGAATTCGGGAAGCTCGTCAGGGTGGCGTGACGGGTATAATAAACCTGCCCGCCCACGTTCAGCTCAACCACGTCCGATGGAGGGTTTTGCACCGAGCCCTGGTCTTTGGCGGGCTGCGTTTTGCAGTTTTCGCTCAGTGCCATTTCGCTTGCACGAAACGTCCCAGAAGTTCAGAGTGCGGGGCGCAGCTGCATGGAGCCGAGGCGCTCAAACCCAAAGCGGAGTCCCGATCCCAGACACAGTCCTGGCATCCAGCGCTTTTTTAAAAAAAAAAAAAATTATGACAGAACAATTTCAAATGTACGTCTACGGCGCATCCTTCAAGTGCGTGCGTAAAAAGTCAGACATCGATTATCATAATCGGCATCATGTTACAGACAGCCACTGCGATTTGGTCGTGGAAGTGACTTCAAATCATTAAAAGCGAACTTTCAACAGAGAAAAATGCAATTTAAAAAAAAGTTTCGGTAAACCTGGATCTTAGTTCAGCCTTCTTAAATGCAGGATGGAAAGGAAGAGCAATTGCGAGAGCATCCTATCGCTCTCCTCCTAACTGCTGGGATGCTGAAACGCGCTCATTGGGAGGAGGAGGAGGAGGAGGAGGAAGAAGAGGAGGAGGAGGATGAGGAGGAGGCAGGAAGCGGGACTCCTTTGCGCACCAGTCTCTCCAAACTGCTGAGTGCGGAAGCAGCCGAGCCGGCTTTAGATTTAAGATAATGTTGTTCCAAGCTGTGACATGGAGGAGGGGAAACAAATCCACCAATGAAGCACAGTCTTACATCATCTTAAAGGAAAATGTCACTTGCAGTCCGTCAACACGAAACGGGCTGATGGATGGGGGGGTTGCATCTGTGCCGCGCCACTGTGGCCACGGGCGGCGCGGTGCGCAGCTGGCGATGAGGATTCAGGCTTGTAATAACGCGGCTCCGACATCCCAGCGGCGCGGATTTTAATCCGAGCGTTTGGTTCTTCGCGGCGCATTCATATTTAACACCTTGAGCCGACGCGCTTATCCCGAGAGAGGTTAGGTGTCACCGTCTGTGACTCCAAAACTCATCCGCTGTGACAAGCGCAAGCTGCAGATCCACGGGACAGCTTTACCCTCTTCTGCGAGCAATGCAGCAGTTATAAATAGGCTCAAACGAAAAATAAATCTGACAGGTGCACTCTTGAGACGGAAACCTTTGACCCTAGGTGTCACTGAAAAACGACCCCGTCGTCATGGATTTGATTTACAAAAAGTAGATTTTTTTTGGTTCATCATGGCGTACAGATTGGGAACGTCTCTGCTTCACGATGCTCATCTAATAACTGCAATAAAAATATACATATAGGCTATATCTATCTACTGATACACTCGTTTCACGTTTTGTCACATTACAGCCACAGACTTCAACGTATTTTTTTTGGGGGAGGGATTTTGCATAAAGTGAAAACAAAGTTATACAGGTCAACACATTGTCCAACCTGAGCTGTGGATATCTGTGGCTCCTCCAGAGACACATTTGTCCTCTTTCCTCCAATCTTTCCATTTTTTGATCAGAATCAGAGCAGTGTTCTGTGAGATGTTCATGACTTTTGGTATTTTTAAAACCTGGTTTTAAACTTCTCCACAACTTTGTCTCTGACCTAAATGCTGTGTTCCTTGGTCTTCATGAGGTTGTTTCACAAAAAACATCTGGATTTCTGATGAGGGCGACTCCTCCACACTGAGTTTTATAGCACCATTGTAAAGGGGCTGATATAGATAATATAGATAAGCCAGGATTTTCATATTTTTGCTTTATTTTGTTCGAAAAAGTCATGTGTATTTTTACTTTTTCCTCCAAACTACGCACTGTTTTGATTTGGTTTATTTATTGGTCCTAATAAAATAAATCCTTATAAAATAACACTGAAGTTTGTTGATAAAAATTCAAAGAGATAGTAAAACTTTGCAAGGCACTGCGTGAGTCCCATTCTTTCACTCATGCTGCGTATCTTTGGAGGCAAAACCTCCTTAATAAGCCTCATTACTGAAATACTTTGCTCTAGAATGTACCCAGTAAAACAGGCAGAGGTGTGGGACTGATTGCACAGCCGCTGCTAAACGAATATGTCACAGAGTCAGCAGTGCAAATCTGAAGCCAAGAGCCTCTGGGTGCAAAATCCACTTCGGATCAAGAGAAACGCTGCACAGCTGAAGTAAAAGATTGACAATCATTCGCATGCATTTTTATGTGGGTCACAAATGTGTGCCGGCACAAAATGAACATATACGCGTGATTCAATTTTCACAATCACCTGAATGCCGGGGACTTCTCTTTTGTTTATTCAACTTTTTCTTTTTTGGTTTGTTTTCAACCACCAGGGGAAAAAAAGAAAAACCCTCAATGCTTTGACGAATTCCCTGTTTGCAGCTTGTTTGACTTTTCTGTGTGTGTTTGAAGTTATAATAAAATCATATTGTTGCTGTGCTAAGAGAAGGCATCAATGGTGGGAGAGCCCCCTTGACTCGTGGTTTGAGAGGAGGCAGCGGTCATGCTTCACCCTGTTAATTCACTGTATATTGTGCTGGAGAGGGGTTGCTAAGCAGCCGCAGGGGACTGAGTGGGATTTAAACAGTAGGGATTTAGAGCTACAGCAAGCTCTCTGATCTCTTTTCTCCAGTGATGTGATGTTTTGCTTCTCGCAGTTGTCTCTCTGGTACAGTAATGTTTTGACTATTTAGTGATTGAAATGTTACAGCAGACGTGATATGAAGTGTACCTCCGTTACATCTGCAGCTTGTTTAAAATGCAGGACAGCTGTGACAGACGAGGATTTCATGTCCTAGATTTGGCTTCTAAATGATTCTCCTCCCAGATGTCCCATAAATCCTGTGACTTACTTATCTCACTCATCCTCCCATTAGAAACATCATCCGGTCGTCGCTTATTTGCTCATCGCAAAGCGGTGAAGGTTGGTTTCTGTGTTGGCTTCTGCATTTTGGAGGGAGTTGAATTTCATGCATGAATAATGTACGACAATATGGCTCCCCGCTGAGCGTGAAGTAAGAAATTTGTATTTGCTGGAACATTAAAATGGCAGCTTTGGGCTAGCAAGTCCTTTCATTAAGTTGTCAATGGTTCAGCTTTGAAGAAAAATTTAAAATCTTGTCCTTTTGCATGTTTGCAATGTGCAACATTTGCATCCTTTCTGATCAACATCACCACTCTAAGCTGTACTCCATTGAGAAATATGTTGTCAGATGAGAGAATGTCTCGTGGAAAGCTGCTGCACTACCTCAAAAGCTCCAAACAATCCAAACAGGATCCTCCTCTCTGCAGTTATTCTTCATATCCACACATCTCTTGTCCTATTTCCTCCTCTCCCACTCACTTTTTACTCCACTCATATTTTCACACAAAAGAGACTAAGGTGCGAACTGGCATGTTTAGGGAAACACAGTGAGTCTTGCTGTTTTCAGACAGACTTTTGTTTCTGATGGACGACAAAGTTTAAACTGATTGAAAGGGACATTTAATGACATTTTCTGCTAAATTATGCATTATGTAATGCTATGCTAGTCATAAATTTACTTATCATTGTGCTTTGAATTTTATGTGTTGCTTGGTACCCCTAGAGGGCAGTGTGGTCAGACGACTCAATCCTTAAAGAACATTGAAGTACAAGGAAACTCATACTTTTAAAAAAAAATATTCAATTTGAACAGATTTTCAACTTGTCTTAAATGAACTTCAACATGCACAGGACATTTAAGATACATTTGTGACTTGCAGAAGTATTGACTTTGCACATTTTACTATATCACAACTACAAAGTTGTATTTTGTTTTGATTTCATTTACTTTAGAGTTACCAACATAATTGTGAACAACTGCAAACCAGAGGAGAAATTATAAATGGCATTCAAATAAAAATCTTAAAGGTTGGTGTGCATTTACATTTAGCCTCCTTACTCTGACGCCCTAAAAGTTAGAGCTCGTCCAACCGATTGCATTGTAATATGCCCTCAGTATGAATATAGCTATTTTTGAGAAGGTCTCAGGGGTTTAGAGGACATTAGTGAACAAACATGTTCATAAAGACAAAGGAACACAGTGGGCAGGACTGACTTAAAGTCTTGGAGAAGCTTAAAACAGGTTTTGGTTTACAAAATTATATCACGTTTTGCTTTTTTTTTTTCTTTTTATTGAACACTGTTTAAAACCATCCAGCGTCATGTTTGCTCTCTGTTCCCAGCCATGCTGGGCCACAGTAATCAAGTATTTCCAATCAAAACTTTAGGCTTATATAATAGAAGACTTACACTGTTCATCAACTCTAACAACCACACAAGCACATAACCTCCATGGTGAAACATGGTGGTGACAGCATCATGCTGTTGATCTGTGGTGACAGCATCATGCTGTTGATCTGTTTTTCTTCAGCACAGCACAGGGGTTGCAGAGTGAATGGAAAGATGGGTCTAAAAACAGATAAATCCTTGTAGAAAACATGATAGACGGCCAAAAAAGCTGAGACTGAAAGTGAACATTCACCTTTCAGGCACTAGTTCAGACAAAGACATAATCATGAGTGGGAATGGCCCAGTCAAAGCCTTGGCCTGATTCCAACTGGCAATCTGCTTCACAAAGAAGACCTGGCAAACACTTCAGTCTGCAGATATGCAAAGCTGGTTAGCGACACAAGCCAACAAAGATGTGATTCCAGTACTGAAGGTTGACAATTATGCTCCACTTTGTGTAGTTATATATGTGTACTACAATCCTAATAAATTATGTTTAAATTTGTAATTTTAACATAATCAACTATGCGAAAAGGTTTTGAGGAATGGGTGCATTTATGAGCTGTTCATTGGGTGTCAGTCTTTGGGTATTGTCAAACAACAAAAAGCTAGTTTTATGTTTTGAGATCTAATTTCACTGTTGCCATCTGCTTGTGGAGTGCTATTTAGAGATATTCTATATTAATCGGTTCGTTTTGCCGTTATTGTTCTGTCTCTGTCCATCATCGCTGTGTTTGGTGTTTTTTTTTTTTTTTTTTTTTTGCTTGGATCATTATCTCTAATTTCCACTTCCAGCTCTCACCCTGGATCGATCTTTCTCGCGCAGTTCCAGTCCCCGACCAGCAGGTGGCGGAGCTGCTCCCTGAAAGCTGGTCAGCGCCGGAGCTGCCTTTGCCTTGATCTCCATTTTGGATGTTTTTCCTGGAGGTTAGCACCTACTCTCTCAGCGGCTAGCAGCGCAGCTCAGGCAGTGTGACATTTTTGCATGACTACTCACTGCAAAATCGGACCCGGGAAACTGAAAAGCAGACAGAACACACCCAGAATCACGAGCCCTGCTGCTTGGTGTAGTCATGTAGCGACGACACGACGAGTGGGGAGTAACAGAATCAGTCAGCGTGTTGTGAACTGCCACTTTCAACCAAAACAATGTTGACTGATGACCTGTGGACTCTCATTAGCAGCCTGTCATATCAAGGGTAAATATGATAGTTTTTATTACGTCTATTGCATCTGGTTAAATACACTAACATACCTCAATAATAGCTAGACATGCATTTACAATACCTGTGGTAGCCTTTAGCCTCTCGAAATGTAGCCACTTTAACTCTTAGCCACTCTGCAGCCTAGCGTGCTAGCAGCTCGCTAAATGCTAACAGTAACTCATCTCGGATTTCCGTGACATTTAATGGCCTTTGCGTTAAATTGGTGGCTGGATCCTCACTGTGTATGTTTGTTATGATTAGTGTGTAATGCATGGGGGTGGGCTCCCGGACGTTTGTGATTATTTTGCAAACTAACGTCAAATAGCCTAAGCTAACTGTCAAACGTCATGGGAGGGGGGGTGTCTCCACTGTTCACCCAGCCATTCAGCCATGCTGTTGTAAGGACCGCTGAATATGCATAGCGGGATGAGGGTCCAAAAGGATCCAGAGGCCCCTGGCCTTGCTCCAGTGTCTGGTGTGGTTCACAAGCTCCTGCTGGAAAGTTGTTTGGATGAAATGCATTTACAAACAGATGGGATCTGGCGCAGAGCTGATGCTTACATAGATTACATTTTGTAGTTGGGGGGGCAGGGGGACAAAAAACATTAAAGGTTTCATAGCTGCAAATAAATAAAAACGGAGACCAATTCCGTCTAAAACGCGAAAGAAAATTCGAAACTATGAAAGGTAAAAACATGGATATGAAACATCACTGCACGGTGATGCTCATTGTTTACTACTAGGCTCCTGCACAGCCAGGAAATGCAAATGAACCAACGAGCTGCTAATTCAGTATATCCGCAAAACTGTAGTCGACCAAACACACGTAATGAAGCAGATTATGGTTAACCATTAGGTCTCTGGCCTGTAACATAATTAACAATGATTTATGTTCCTGAATATGGCTCTATAAGGTGTCTAAGCAAAGCTAAAAAGCCAAGGGCAAAATAACACAAACGGCTCACACATCACTACATGTGCTATTTTTAGTCTCTTGACTCTTTTAAAAATATTTCAAATATTATTTTTTTTAAAATGCTGTAATAGAGTGAAATTGACCTGTTTCCTCATTATTAGTTTTGATTAGTGATCATCAGGTCAGTTGCTGACCCTATTGCTTTTTGTTTCTATTGATTGATTGATTGATTGATTGATTTAACACACACATGGTCCACAAAGACAAAAATAAATACATATGGAAAAAAAATATATTGAATGACTCAAAATGAAGAACTCCCATATTTTTTAGTTTTTCAATACATCAACCACATCCTTTTTTTTCCCCAGTTTAAGAAATGTTCTAATCATCTCAAGACCTCCATGACCCAGAATGGGGGGGTCCTGACTTCTGCCACAGATAAAATGTACAAGATCTGATATGCATTGCTCAAAGGTTACGCCCACAGAGAGGTTGACAAGAACCCTGCAAACTGTTTAAGTCGCTTCAAAACACAGTGGAGGCAATTTTTTCGGAGACCTTGCTCTGCAGCCTTTCCACAGATGCTTTTGTTAGGCTTTAGCTGCTGATTTTTTTTTTTTTTTTTCACCCCAAAAAACTATGGAAATATTGGAAAATCTGATAACTGGAGAGATTTTAATGTTTATAGTCCTCCTCCTACCTGGTAGGTAAAAACATTATTGTTTTGTGGCATCCTGTCAGGGATGCTAAAATTTTAAACAAAAATGTTTATTGTAATTTATTTATTTTTACTTGTAGCAAAGAAATATAACTCATGGGTTATTATTACAGTCATATTAATGCTACCAAAACCATTTAGTTTCATATGACTTTGTAAAAGAGAGCGTTAAGTCTGAACGTAGAATAAACACCCATTCCATCAAAGTATATTTTTAGGTAACCATTCTTTATGATGCAGAATATCACTTGTTTTTTCGATTTTGATTTTTATATAGCAGCAACAGTATGGAAAACCAATATAGCTGTTCAGTCAGTCAGTCAGGCTATCTGCTCGGGTGCCCAGCCTGCAGGCAGCTGCTTATGCGACATGCTGATTTTAGTTTGGCGTCCCCTTAATACGAACGATGTTGCTCCTTTAGTTTCCACTCCATGGCTGTCATTAATTTAGTGATAAGGAATGTTTTTAAACAGGGGCAACGTGGGAGAAATGTAGGAATGTTTTTTAATACAACCTGACCAAGAATTGGCAGCAACATGTGAGGGAGGGGAAAGCTGTATTGCTTCATGTTCTGTATAGCTGGTAAATAAATCTAGTTTCTCTGACATCTCTGTGAAAAACCCGAGTATCTCTTGACGCCAGTGACCAAAAGCAACTTAAAAAATATATTTTAAAGGTAGATGAAAGGAATTATTCAGCCTTGTAAAAATGCTGACCGATGTAAAATCTGTGCCCCTGTGGGACGCATAGTGGATTGTATAATACAGTCTGAATCATGTCCAAACCTTCAGCAAACAACATAATCTGTCTGTAAGAACTTGTTTGTTTATTCTTGGCATGTCCACACATGTTCTTGTTACCCTTAAATTATCTGACAGGCCATACTTTTGAGTCCAGCAAGGCATCTAAGCCTTCTGGCTTTGCCTTTGATTTTTTTCCCCCCCAGATAGCAAACAGAAGAAGCTTACAGATTCATTTCAGCAAACTTGATTTCTGAGCAGATTTTGATGTTTATAGCTTGCCTTTGTTTTGTAGAATCTCTGTGAGATTAATGTTATCATGTCTGGAGTTGTTGTTTGTATATTTTTCTGCTATCTGGATAGTTAAATTGTCAAATTACTGTAAGTGGGATTCTAACAATGTCTTTTCTTCCCTAAATCAAAAGATGGATCAAGGTGGAGTGAAGAAGATAGCGTACAGAAGAAATGACCATCTAAGCAAACTGGTCTACACTGAAAGCCCTGAGGAGGGAGGTCTTCTGAAGGTGGCTCCTCACAGTGCCATGTCCATCACCTCTCCTCCTCCTGTTGTTCTTCCATCCAGCCCATTAATGCAGCCTGGACAGGTGACCAACGGCCTCAGCAACAGCCCACTTCCAGAGGAGCTAGCCTCAGCCCCTGCCACGACCGGTTCCTCGGCTGACAGTTCAGAAACCAGGGGCGTGACCAAAGATCAGAGGCCTGAAGAGCTACAGTTGTTCCAGACGCAGACTTTCAACACTTTTGGGCATCAGGTCCTGCCCCAGTTGAATGCCAGCATGGCAGACATCACCCAGTCCTCCATGGACTCTCTCATCGGGGGGTCGGATCCCAACTTATTTGCTGTGAAAACGGAGGATTTCTCCATGGATAAAGGCGAGCAGGACCCCAACGATCTGGACCATGCCTTTGACCACATTGGCAAAGATGTGGACATGAACCAGAAACTGTTCAACGAAACCAGTCTGGATCTCCTTCAAGAGTTTGACCTCACCGCATCCCCCTCCGATTTTTACGTAGGGGACGATGATGCCTTTTTGTCCACGCTGGCAGACGATTCGTTGCTCGCAGACGGGGAAATGAGAGGGACAACTGAGAGGGACGTGAAACCCTCCGTGGCCGAGAGCGTCGGCACCACGAGAGTCTGCGACAGCAGCAAGGCATCGAGCCCACTTGAATCCAAGTCCAAGTCTCCTTCTTTGACCCCTGCAACCACTTTCCCCGCCGTGGTGAAGAAAGAAAAAGATACCGACTTCATTCAGCTCTGCACACCAGGCGTGATTAAGAAGGAGAAGTCGTCTTCGGGGTATTGTCAAATGAGCAGCTCAAGCCCCATCTCTATCTGTGGGGTGAGCACTTCAGGGGGCCAGAGCTTCCACTTTGGAATCAGCACCAGAAACAACGACGCTCTGCAGGAGAAGGACCAGAAACCCGTGTCTGGCTTGTTCCTCCCAGTAACGACCATCAGTGGAGCCTGGAACCGGAACCAGGGCGACAACTCAGTGATCTGCAGGGCCAGTGAGGTTTTCTCAAGCTCTTCCTCCTTCTCCTCCAGCTTTGCCAGGTAAATAAATGTTTGATTTAATCCTCCATAACCTTTAGAAGATAACATGTTTGCGTTTAACAGCAAGTCATTGCAGTATGTTGAAAGCCATGTTTTTAACAGAAATTTTTAGTTCTTCTAATGGAAGAACTTTTAGTTCTTCTAATGGAAGAACTAAAAGTCATTTTAGTCACTTTACATGATAGTGACTAAAATGAGGCCCAGCTGTGTCAAAGCATGGGTCAGGATGAGTATGTTGTTGTATAATTACATTGAATAAAAAGTTTATGGAAACTCTTAAAACATCTTTCCAAACATGGTCTTAAATTGCCTTCACAGTCTTACATTTGTAAAATGATTCATTCATTGTTTTTTTTCTGTTTTTAATTAGTTTTTGAAGGAAATATTTACTTCTTTATGCTTTAGCTCTGACTACTAATATGGATTGTCAATTATATTTAGCCTTTTTATGTGCAAATTTTTGGAAGAAAAATAGCTCAAAAGTGGCTTCTTGTGGTTTGTTTAAGTAATTGAAATCAAAATGTTTGTCTTAGCTCCAGCTCCTTTGTCATCAAAATGTGCATATAAGGAGAGTTTGGCCTTAATCCAGGGATTTTCTACTTGCTGTGCTTTAAGGAGTTGAATTGATGTAACTCATAGATGTGAAACGACTGGAGTCATGCCAGAGCTGGAAAAGACAAACATAAGAGGACAAAGTGCTGCTAAAATAAGGCAACCTATTGATCATAAGACATTGATGGTGACACAAAGGCTTTAGAAAAAATAACTTAAAAAAAACTTGAAAAAAATAAAGCTTAGGTTTTAAGTGCCTATTAAGGATCATAATTGAAATGGGTTGATTGGTCCAGTTTTAGTTAGACCGGCTGTTGTCGGTAGTATATTGAGCCCTATTGGCAACAATGTAACTTTTCTGTTGCGAACATGGTAAAAGTCTAGCAGCTTTCTTTCAGCCAACTGACTGGCAGTGCGCAGTAGTATCCCAGGTGGAGAGGTGGCTCTGCGTCTCTCAATGCGGCTCACAGCCGGAGAAATCTCTGGTCTCTCTAAAACTTTCTCAGCACAAACAGTGGGAGTGGGACGATGGAAGATTTCAACTTGAGATTTTAAAACCGGTTAGTGGTTATCAGCCCCTTCCTGAATTGGACAGTCGAGCTTATGTTGGCGTTGGTACCACTAAATATTTAAGCGGAAGTGAAATAACTTGATAAATTGTTAATAAAGCTGCAAAAAGGTGTTTTAAGAAACATTCAGCTGTCAAGTCAAACTTTATCCATAGTAGCCCACATCTGCAAAGTTGTACTTTACTTCTTTTACTCTGTTTTGTAAACCCGCCACTACTTTGATAAGAGAAGATTCTTGCAGTATTTCAAGAATCTTTTTGTCCTGACATGCATGATACCAGTTTTTTCATTCTTCTAATTTTTATAGAAAGACCGATGACACCTGGAAAGATTCGTTGCACGCTTCTAGACGGGTGTTGTCATGCTTTGGAACCGTTGGCTACTGATTGTTTGTTTGCTTGGCTTACATAACCTCTGTGCAGTGAAATGGTTTATGTGTCATAATTAGGCCCGAGCAGCTAAGCGCTGCGAAGGCCTATTGTTTTCCTACTGTTTCTTATTATTATTATTCTGCCCCCCTAAAGAGGGGCCTTTTTGGGGGCTTTATCATTTTCAAAAACTCACCAAACTTGGCGGACACGTAAAGGGAGTTTCAAAATTTTGTATTTTAAGGTCATTGCAAAAATCCCATAAAAAATGGCTCAATAGCGCCACCTACAAATTTTCAAAGGACCCTTTGCTATTCACTTACTTTATCCTAGAGACATGAAATTTGGTACACTTGTAGAGCTCCCCAGGACGCTCAAAATTTACAATTAATGTCATAGTGCAAGTATCACAGGAAGACAGCCATTTTGGATTGAAGGTCCAATTTTGAGGCCATTTTTGCCGTTTACAGCCTTCGTATTTGATCGAACTCCTCCTAGGGATTTCGATTGATCGGCTTTAAACTCGGTCAGTCTGTTCATAAGGCATGTCCCATCTAAAGTTATCAAAACGGTGAGTTTTTGAGTATGCTGAAGGGGGGTTAGCAGGGGTCAAAGTTCACCTACTCGCCGTAAAAAAATAAACTGCTATATCTCCTACACAGAAACTCACAGAGGCACCAAAGTTTCTATGATTGATCATCATTGGGTGTCCTACAATACCCTATGGTCGAATGATGACATCACTTTGGCCACGCCCCCTGAGAACAGGAAGTGTAATGTTTTACTGTGAACTTTCACTATCTGACCCCTTTGACCTCATCAACATGAAACTGTGCCCAGACACAGAAGACATGTTGGTGTGTTGAGGATTCCAACCCCGACCAGCTTCGATGGAGCAGGTGGGCGTGGCGGCATGGCGAATTGACCTGTAACGCCATCGCCATACGTTTTGCTCTCAATTCCACAGTTTCTTTTCCAGCTGCTCCAACCTCACAAGGATGGATCTTCATCCACTCCCCGACAGGAATCCATCACAATATTTGGTGGGCGTGGCCTAATTTCTCTATAGCGCCCCCTAGAACACTTTAAATGATCAGCCCCAAGCCATGCTTTAACCTACAATTACGAAACGTTGTACACATGTGTACCTTGTCAGGACTTACAAAAAGTCTCTTGGAGCCATGGTCTAATCCCCACAGGAAGTCGGCCATTTTAGATTGAAGTTCAGATTTTGACCCCATTTTTGCCGTTTACAGCCTCCGTATTTGATCGAACTCCTCCTAGGGATTTCGATTGATCGGCTTCAAACTCGGTCAGTCTGTTCATAAGGCATGTCCCATCTAAAGTTATCAAAACGGTGAGTTTTTGAGAATGCTGAAGGAGGGTTAGCAGGGGTCAAAGTTCACCTACTCGCCATAAAAACATAAACTGTTATATTTCCTACACAGAAACTCACAAAGGCACCAAAGTTACTGTGATTGATCATCATCGGGTGTCCTACAATACCGTATGGTCGAATGATGACATCACTTAGGCCACGCCCCCTGAGAACAGGAAGTGTAATGTTTTACTGTGAAAGGTCGCTATCTGACCCCTTTGACCTCATCAACATGAAACTGTGCCCAGACACAGAAGCCATGTTGGTGTGTTGAGGATTCTAATCCCGACCAGCTACGATGGAGCAGGTGGGCGTGGCGGCGTGGAGAAGTGTCCTGTAACGCCATCGCCATACGTTTGGCTCTCAATTCCACATTTTTGGGCGCAGCTGCTCCAAACTCACAAGGATGGATCTTCATCCACTCCCCGACAGGAATCCATCACAATATTTGTAGGGTGTGGCCCAATTTCTCTATAGCGCCCCCTAGAAAATTTAAAATGATCAGCCCCAAGCCATGCTTTAACCTACAATTACGAAACTTTGTACACATGTGTACCATGTCAGGACTTACAAAAAAGTCTCTTGGAGCCATGGTCTAAACCCCAGAGGAAGTCGGCCATTTTAGATTGAAGTTCAGATTTTGATCCCATTTTTGCCGTTTATAAACCATTTCAGTAATTCGCCACTTGGGGTCAGTATTGCTCCACAAATGAAACAGCAGATAATCAGGATGAAGAACAATATCAGTATTTCGCCAGTAGGTGTCAGTGTTCCTCCACCGATGATAAACAGATCCACGGGCGGATGGGCGTGAAAACTTTGTGAGTGTGTTGCCATGACATTTCTAAAAGGATAGAAATGTCAGATAATTTTTGTTGAATTAAATCATGCAGTAAATGTAGCGTTTTCTTACTTCTTCCAAACCATTTCAGTAATTCGCCACTCTGAGTAAGTATTACTCCAACAATGAAATAGAGTGCTTTAGAAACACAGCTGAAAATGATGAAAAATGACGAACTGTAGTACTTCGCTATGTGCATATGATCGGCTGTAAATGTCACGTGGATCATCCGACTGACGCCAAATTGGATACGTATGACCTTTGTTGACCTCTAAAGAGAACAACAGCATTGAAATATATTTTGACTCCACTGCGCGTCCTACATTAATCCGCCAGCTATATTTCCTCGCTAAAGCAATGAATCTATACCACATTTTTTTGCATCGTCAAGGATAGCCGCCGAACGCATAGATGCGTACCGCCTGGTGGACGGGCGCGGAAACTGCGCAACAACTTCTGTCTTAGCACGTGCGCAGCTTTGATGAAAACTGAGCAACAGCTTCCGCGGTGCGGGCGGAGGAGCTGAAAACTGCGTGAGAGCTTCTGTGGTGGCTGGCGTGAGGCGGCGGTTGCTCGTACCCCGCGGTGGACAATAGGCCGGAGCGGCGCTTGGCTGCGAGGGCCGTTCGAGGCTGCTTGCAGCTTTAATTGCTTGTTGCTGTTGTAGTGTTTGTGCTGCTTCAAAATGAAAAACGAAGGCAAGAAAAGAAAAAATGCTTCTTCCCGTTATAAGAAGCCCTTGCAAAAATAGAAGTGTTTAAAACAAATGTTAGTTGTGTTGGTAGTGATGCTATTAATAGTTCAGACCAGACGGAGCTGAATAACCAGACTCACAATGTGATTATCAAATGCATGTTATTTGTTTGTCCATTTTATCTTATATTCTTTCTCTGTCTTTCTTTTTATTTTTATTTTAAACCTTTACTTTTCTTAAGTTAGAGAAACGCACAAGAATTAAAATATGCTTGTGCTATAATATATATGTGCAAAGGAAAATAAGTTAGATTCTGTTAGTCAATGGCTTAATTTCCAGTCAAATATCTCTTAAAAACATTTTATATCAATATGTTTGGAGTAAATTTGGTGTGGTAAACTGAGGAGGGAATAGAGCCCCTATCCCAGTCAGCTTGCCGAAGCACCGCCATGCTGCAGCAACAACAATTTTCAGTGCTGATAGTGTTACTGAGGGAAATTTAAGTAGCATGTCACAAATGCTAAGGCTATCTAGCCTGGCTAACCGATGACAGCAGATAAGATGTTTTCCTGGAACGGTAAGTTATTCCTCTGCCATT